TAAGTATCTCTTTCTCAAAATACCATTCATCAAAGTCACATGAAAGCAGAACACATTTAGGAGGAATACAGATGGCACACTGCAAGGTCCTCCTTCTTATCCAAAGTCTTTGTGTATCTCATTTATCCGTCTTCAATCAACTTGTTTAACAATTTCTGTTAAATAACTTTGCACAAACTACGTGAAGTCCGTGTGTACAAAAACATGTATTTCCATGACCTATTTTAGAACTTTCATAATATTTTTAAAACTTTGATTCAATTGTGCATTATCGAAACCTTAAAGCGTTTCATTCATATTCAGCCGTACACATTCTTTACTTGTATTTACTTGTCGTTAATGTTGCAGACTACTTGCAGCTTTGTATAATGGGGTTCCCCCCCCCCCCCCCCCGAAAAACCCGGTGGACTGCGAATTACCACCGCAAAGTAAAGGGTGGCGGGAGGAGGTCTGGGAGAATAGGCTACGTCGTATTAAGTCATGACATCGTTTGACATGCTGCGTAAGTACAGGCAGTGATACTGCGAAACGGCAGACTGGGGGCAGCGCGCTTCGAAAACGTGTTAAATACAAATACGGAGAAAAATAAACAGGAATTGCACGCACTGACCCCAGCATCCGCGACACGCTCATCCGAGTCTTAATTCAATCGGAAGAAGCAAACCTGCCGTTCCGAGCAGCCAAATGTTTTGCAGTGCTGGTGTAATTATACAAGGCGGGCACACAGGGTTACGTTTCGGCGTTTCGCTGTACTAAACCGCGACCCCTAAGTGGCCATTTTCAGGAGTCGGACTGGAAAGAGTCTCTCCCACCTGGCGATTGAGAGCGACTGGGGGAGCGAAGCGGAGCCGGTGCTCCTTGAGCCGCCCAGCCCCCTAACTCTCACCACCGCTTCTTATGAACTCTTGAGACTGACTGCCGATGTGCAAACACACACGCCGAGGCGCAACAAACACCCGAGGGACGTGTGTGTGCGGAGCCTGAGTTCTGTACACAGCGAATGGCACCTTTGCATATTTGCCTACTTCTTTAATGTTTCCGTGTGGAAAAAAAAGAGGAAGTAGAGTGGGCTACTTTAAGGAAACGTTGTGGTGGTGTAAACACAAATATGACCCCTAGATAATCTGTATAAAATCGTCAGGGATTATAATAGAAAAACATGCAGTGCCTAGGCAGTACGGAGAAAGTAGGGGTTTAATCTCTTAATTAATTAAGATCATTCTCCGCTTACACAGGTAATATGTTTTAATGTAACTGACAGTCCGTATATAATCCCCACCACATGGCACTACCGAGGAAACCAGAAAAACACACAATATTTATACTTTACAATATTACGATGGGGGGCTGAAATCTTCAGACGTATGTTTTGTGCAAACAGGCCTATAGAAATGTATTATAACTGACTAGATACGTTGCATTTATTAAAAGTGTCCAATTAGGTATATAGGGAACAACTATGTTTTGCTTATTTTTAATTGTACAAAGTACAGCTTCGCGTCTCATATGTACGGATGAAGTTGTGTTCAAAGCGATCAGACAAATCGAGCTTGTTGTCAAGCTCTGAAACGTACATTTGCCGAAATGTTTATATGTACCTCCTGTGAACTATAGTTATCATGCTTTTCTTTAGATAATTGTGGGTTCGTGGAAGTAAATAAGGAAATGTGAAACGACAGTTATTGTTAATTTTAATGTTTGAGAAATATATGTAGGCCTAAATGGGGCAGATATATCGTATATAAAAGATAGATCAAAGGTTACTTGGGGTTAAATCAAGACTATTTCTATTTTGTTTGTTCTATATCAGACAGGATTGAAAAACTGAAAATGCAATTAGTCGAAGGGGTTAAAGTGGTCTGGAAGCATAAACTTGATTAACTTGGTGAAATAGTGATCTAGAGATGATTAACAAATACACTCTTTCTATTTATAAGTGGGCCTACAATTAAGAATAATATATATTTATTGCAATGCAGCATGATAGTCAGGCATATTTCAGTCCTAAACCATGTTCAGTGACAAATGCCACATTTGTATGCAAAATCGATGCGACTCTTTTTATATTCCTGACCTGAAATGAGTAATTAACTATTATTCCGTAACAGCTCTGATTCTTTCTCAGCATTTCCTTTTCATCGTCAGCCTTCAACCCGTGCAGGGTTCTTGAGAAAGAACAAAGTTATTCCAACTGTTCGACAGTAAATCACACAGATAAACCCCAGGATTACCCGTCGCGATGAGTTTAATGAACGGGGAAGAACACTAAAGAACAATTCATATCAGTCAGCTGAATTACTCATCTAAATGTCTCGGAGGGACAACCTGAGCGGCCGTTTTCGAAGTCTTGAATAATTATGGAAATAATTCCATAATTCAGCCGATGCGTTAGAGGCCAAACAACTAATTTAATTAATTTTATCTGGAAGTAGAAAATATTTGTCAATTTTCTTCTAACAAAATTAGTGGGCATTGAGAAGCACAATTTAAAAAGTTTGTTAGGTGTTTTGGAAGAAAATAAGTTCTCTTTTTATAAAAACTTTCAAAAACAAAAGGTCTGTGGTTCTGCAGATATAAAATACAACTTGTTCCCTGACCCATATACGGCTTATGGTATTCAATTATGCGGTCAAACGCGGTGTGTTTCTGAGCCACGGTCAATTATTGGCTGCCAGTAATAATAGTGAATGATTGCCTTATGCAACCACCCCCGCCCCTCCACCGCCGATACCAGCCCCTCCCCCACCCCGCACCGTTGTATTGATTAGCCGGTAAGAGAGCGGGGAGCGGGGATAGAAATGGTTTCTATCACTTTCTCCAACACAGCTCCCGCAGTTGAGGAGAAACATTACGAAATGCCACAATTACCTTGAAAACGTGAAATAGACAACAAAGCTTATATAGTTCACACAGACACCGCGCATTCATCATAATGAAGTAACTGTTCCTTTTCCTCGCATTGAGTGCTTTCTGTTTTATCCGATTTTATTTTCACGTTAAATTAATTTCGAGTACCTAAGCTGTATTTCACTGAATAGTACAAAACATTCCTAAGCACTTCCTTTCACATGAAATTTTACCACAGATTTGAGGACTACGTGGCGTTCTTGACTCCCTGGCGTTTAACCCCTGTCCTCGTGTCTTTTTTATATCCTTTTCTTATAGTAAATCAGTCCCAAACTTCTCCCCCCCCTTATTTTTTTTTGCTGTTTTGTGTTGTTAACACAATGTAGCCCGACCGTCCGATGTGAATCTCGTTTAGCATGTCTCTCGCTCGACTGGACTGCAAATCACCATGTTTACAATCTCACACGAACAGTCACATCAATTAACCGACCATTGATTTTCTAGCTCAGGGTTTTACAATATTGCAGACATGCCTCCTATATCTCTCTGGATTTATTGCTGATATGATTTCGGTGACAGGATTCTTGACTTTGCAGTGCTGAATCTTATTTAAAACAGCATGAAGTTCATCTAAAATGCTTTCTTACGCTATGTAGCAGTGAATGTGTAACTCATGCAGATTGCCTCAATAAATTAATTACCACGATTTTTTCCGTTTTATTAAAGTTACTGAATCTTGACAGCAGCTCATTGTGCCAGTTAAATGTTTTTTTTTGTTTTGCTACATCAACTTGCATAAGAGTTATGACAGATACATGTGGGTTATTGTTACGTCCAACTCTTGGTGATTAATCATGCTGGAAAAAAAACGCAAGAAGGTTTGTCTTTCTGATTTCATTTCTCTCTTTTCTTTCATTAATAAATAAATAAGAGACGTCCTAAGTAGGTAGCCGAGGCAGGAAGGCACTAGATTCATCTCGCCTGCAGCTGCTCTTTAAATATTCAGTGAAAAATAATGGCATCCCAGGCATCACCTATAGTAACGTTATTATCTTCATTCTTCAAAATCAGCCCGGCTGATAGCTTCGTTTGTCTTTTCCGTGTAATAAATCAGCTGCAGCGCGGGACATCTCTGCCCCCCCTTTGGATTTACACACTCCCCAACACTTCCTGATTAAATGGTTTATAACAGTGGCGCATTATTATTATTATTATTATTATTATTATTATTATTATTATTATTATTATTATTATTGTATCATCTTTGTTTTCAATATTCAAAGTTTTAGCTTGAGTTGTTATTCTTATTAATATCATTTTTTATTGTTGTCGGGCCTCTTTAAATAACTTTAAACATAAAGTTTTATGATGGGCATAACCAGAGCCATCTCGTGATGCATGTTACGGAATATTCATGCATATTACCACGCCGGTGTTGTGTGATTTTTATTTTTTTTTAAGTGTTCGTTTTATTTCAATATCGTGTTTGATGCTGACTTCTGCGGCTTCATAAATTCGTTTAAAATACGTACATATATATGTGAAAATATACTTATATGAAATGTATATGAAAGGCATGAGTTACTAAATTGTATTGACAAATATGTATTTTTTTTTCTTTTTCTCACAGGTTACAATTTAACTTAAATTAAAGAACTCGCCTAAAGAAATATACGTTTTCTCGACTTTATCGCGCCTCTCTTAGCTATTTACACAAATGAAATACATATGTTTGTAAAATGATTCGCATTGAATTTTAAAGATAGTTGAAAACTACTGTCGCAAATGATACGAAAATTCTAATTTCTGCCAATGTACAGTAACGCCGTAGCGGCTCTGCTTTGCAGTGTAATGCTCTCCACACTAACGTGCCGTTTAATTTCAGAGAAATAAGCAAACGCAACAAAAAAAAATCTCGAAGGAAGTTAACAAATTGTGCTCCCGAAAGCGTCAAAGCGTTTTCTTATTCTCTCTCACGTCGCCGCCACTTGTACTTACCCTACATGTGCGAACACACACACACACACACACACACACACTTACAACACACACGGGGATCTGGCACCTCCGCCGGCCTATGATAGAATCGAGCCGCGGCCAATCGCGTCACAGATGGGCCGGGCTCTGCGTTTCTCACAGCGTTACATGGGCCCTTAAAGTTTGTTTGTTCGGCGAATGCGGTGTGTGCTGAAAACGTGTTAGCTACTTTGTACGGCGATAATTAAAATGAACCTGAATTGGATATTCGAGACATTCCGTGGACTTCCGAGATCTCGCCATCGCGATTAGGCACGAAACTAATTTTGATTAGACAACTTACTTTTTTCCTCTCTCTCTCTAGCCTGAAGGAACATTTGTCTAGTGGTAGGAGCGGCATTTGCCATTATACTAGACCTCGGAGTTTACGACCTTAATGCACAGGAGAATAAGGGCAGTAATGCAGACTAGATGTGTATGTGACCGCAAGGATTGTAACGCCACTGCGGTCATTTGAATTTATTTAAACCTCCGTGGGTTTGTTTGGCGATTGATAAATATGACCGATACCGAGGACGTATGAGCGTAGGACTCTGACATTCCTATAGTAGCCAAGATAAACTGCGCACAACTCCCAGATGGTTACTAAGAAGGGTTAAACTGTATCTAAAGCGAGTTGGAAAATCCAGCCTTTCCTCCACACGGATCAACTCATTGGATGGGAGCTGAGAGAGAGACAAGAGTCCCCAGCAAATCAGGAGCTAATTGATTAAAGAGGCTTCATTTGAATAGGGGGCTGGCGAGGTGCCAATCGCCCCTCAAAGAGCCCCTGTATGATTAATCGCAAAGCATTATTGATAATCATAATTATAGCAGGACACATGCGCGGTGGATGGGCTCGATTTCCGTAATTCCGAGAAGATTTTTTAGCAATTTTCTATTCCGTCCCGGCTGATGTGTGAGCCACCATGTCGCGGAGGAAACAAGCGAAGCCGCAGCATTTCCAGTCGGACCCGCGTTTGGCCTTATCGGAGCACAATGGTGAGTTGAAGCTGAGCTTTGAATCACACCGATGTACCTTTATCCTTATGAGCCTCAAGACTAAATCCAGCCCGGTCCACTTTCCGGACTTTTCTCTCTCGCTTTTCCCCGCAGAATTTCTTGCGATTTCCGATTCGCTCGCTCAACTTTTCGAAGCCGCATGACTGCCTACTTGTATTAGAGCCATAATAATTTTAATCGCAATAACAACGAGAATAATCATCGCGTCAAATACACCATTTTAAGGTTTGATGCTCTCGGTATTTACTTTTTCATGAGTTTCGTAATCTTTACTTTAGAAACTTTTTTATACGACCCATCTTTCTCACAAGCAACATGTTTGGAAGTATGGTCCAGCGTTAAATCCACATACTCATTATAGCGATCGATGGTTTTAGCTGCTGCCTTGGTTTATGAATCTCATTTTCGGCGTTTTAATTAAAATATGACCAATAACGCCTTTACTAAACGCAAGCGAATTTATGTATTAAAAGTGATCCATCGGCGTATTAAACTGTTAAACTGCTTGTCCCGGAGGTCGGACTCCTCGATGAATTCACCGCGCTCGGAGAAAAAAGGGATCACGTCTTTTTAACCACACTTCCCAGTAAGATGTTTTAAAAATACTGGGGAAAATGACCTAAAACGCACCCGGCACAAATAGCTTATTTTAGGTTATTACACGTTACTAAATTACAGTATTATATTCCGTAATATTCTGTAAAAGATTACGCAAGATGATATTAAGCAATTATCCGAACAGAGGTATTTAGTAAAATCCTGACGTAGGTACTGTCTCCTGGAATAGGATGCAGCCTAACTCCGTATAAACGTCCAGACATTTTGATCGTCATGTACAGACTTTGACAATGTATATATTTATTCAAAAATTGAAACCGGCAAAACCCACGTTGGGTTACCGGCTTGGATCCTGAATTATGAAGTAATTTGGTGTACTTTTTAAAAATATTGTTTCGGAAATCCTATTGCAAATTAAATGCGTTTCAAAAGGTGTCGATGTGGGAATGTTGGTAAAGATGAGAAAAGGCAAGACGCCAGAAATTAGTGCATTTACATATAAAGTACATGTGACGAAAATAACTTTTTCTAGTGAATTATTAAATTTGTTTCAAAACTTTACCTATACCTCCGTAAATTCTGCTCTTTTTAGTATTACCGAATATGTAACAAAAGGGGTTTGGTCGTTTTGCGAAGTAACTTTTTAGCTGGACTTCATAAAGTGTTGTTTTGCTCATGTTTAGTTTGCAGTTTTATGTTCAGGTTGGCCTGTCCCGAGTGCTTTGCGTGACTAATATAAAATGTTCATAAGTTTTATTTCATTACTCAAAAGCTGGAATAATATTTGTAATATTAACATGTGACTTAATATACTTAAATCTGGACAATTAGACGTTTCTAATGGGTCGCATGAAGAGTAAAAATAAATAAATATATCCATTCGTACGTTCGGCGGACGCTTGTGTTAAATAATCTCTTGGTTGAACTTTTAGTACTTTTAAGATATTTTTAAGTACATCTACACAAGGTCTCTAAAGTGGCCTAATTATGTCCTTAGGTAAAACCGTATAAAGAAATACTATCACCATTTTCCCCCTCCTTGTCCTTCTGTATGCCCCCCCTCCATAAAGCTTTTTTGATAAGGGCCTTTCATGTGGAGTGTGTTCAGTTTTGTCCCTTATGAACAAAATCAAGCAATTTTCTAGATAATTTACCATTTTGGTTCTGTTTTTGTGTATCGTGTCCAAATGTCAAATATGGGGCCTAAGAAGGGAGAGTCTCGTGCTCCGCGCGACTTTAAAAATTAAACTTTCATAAGGGGAGTGATATTTTCAGCTTAATAGTGGCGTAAATGAAGGAAAAGTAAATGAGTGACCTCATACCAGGTATCTGTAATTAAAGCAGGAGCAGGGTGAGACTGCAGTCACAAGAATACATATCAGTAACAGAAAACATTTTTACATAATGTATTTTCCAGTATTTCTCCTTTACACATTATCTTTTTGTGCTAGGAGCTTTTTAAAATTTCCGGAACATCCATGGTCCTCCTCCAAACGTCATTTTAAAATGTTTCGAGTGATTGATTTTATGTGAATTAAAATTTTCTCTAATGAAGAAAAAGTATTTTAGCTGCCCATGCTAATCAGTATCACCAACCATAATGCATGTGAACTATGATCCCAAAATTCTGTCTTTCTTGGACAAATGGTCGCATGAATTTAACATGAATATGTTTTATTGTGGCATCTCTTTAAAAAAAATAAACTTCCACCTCAAATGTCCACCGGACCAAACAGTTGTTGTCTGGTGTCGCTCTGCTGTGATGCACACTGAGAGCGGACTTAAGCTGTCAACAAATGGCTTCTCTGCCTTCGTCCTGCTTCCCTAAAGTTCACCAGTTGCTCGACAAAGGCTTGATTAGCAGTGCTTGTTCATTTGTCGGTTGAGGCATCTCCGAAGTTTCCTACAAGCTGCTGGACTGCGTCAGACTGAAATGCAATAAACCTTGCGGACGCTGCCTCTTATCACCTGCATGTATAAATTACATGTACGTAAACTAAATACACAATTAACATAACGTCAGTATTTCTCTTGAAAATTCTGGGTGTAAATTCTGGGAGTCTTTAACATACGACAATGTATTTTGTAGAAATTTTACCCCCTGGACTTGTGTGGATGTGGGTGGGCGTGAAGGGGGGGGGGGGGGGGGGGGGGGGGGGGGTGGGTGGTGGTTGAAGAGAGAAAGAGAAAGCAGGTCCTTAGGGCTACATCGAACTTCTACTATATAAACATTGGCAAGATGTCAAGTAACTGAATCCTTGCCATTTTCTGGGCAGAGCTGTGCTGAATGGACCACCCCGTCAATCTGTTTTCGGGGGGCTGCTCCGTTAAGGTGAAAGGGACCGTTAAAACAGCCCCACTGATAAGCCCCCCCCCCCCCCCCACGCAC